AAAAAAAAAAAAAAAAGAATTCCCCCTTTAGGAAAAATGAAAGTAAAAACTCATCTTAAAGGTAAAATAACAAATTTCATAAGAAAAAAAAATTCTCAAAAATACACTTTAATATACCCTTTGGTTGGCTGATATGCATCAAGGGGATTGGAACCATGGCAATGAAATGATATACGATGGAATGAATGTAAAACTAAAGTTCTCTCATGTGAACATGTAAACTATAATTCACAAAAAATAAAAAAAATAAACTTTACACTGCCTTACCACAGGGAATTTCTGTACCACAAAAATATGGTTTATTGGCAAAATCAATGCACCATAGATTGCACGAAAATTATGTTCTAAGGCATCACCTTGATTCACTTCATTGGTCTGAAACAATAAAAGTAATGAATAAATTAGACAAATCAACCTAAGTAGAAATTCAGGTTAAAGCCAAAATCTTTATTATTAAAAAGGAGCATTTAAACACTTGTAAAAGTTGTCTTTGCTTTCCTTCAAACATTTATTTAAGAAAGTAAGCACTCATTTTCTGATTCCAGAAGAATATGTTTGATAGAGTGAAGGCTTGAGAATGTATACTGTACAAACCTTTAATAAATTTTTTTCTGTGAGTTACTGCAAAACTAGCCAACAGGACATTTTCTTTTAAAAGATGATAAAGCACCTGACAATCAGGAACAGAGATTGAACCTGTGGGCTTATCCTGCCAATATTAGCACTTTCCTTAAATGTATTAATTTGAGCGTTAGTTAACAAATTCCTGATTTAGTGGAATGTCATAGCTTTGAGGTAATCATCAACTTGCCTTATCCACGGGAATAGCTAAAAACACATGGAAAAAAAATGGAGCTGATTTGTTCCCAGGAAGTTATACTTTCTTGAACAAGAAAGCTGGAGTGCAATGGGAAAAAAAAAAAAGAACTGATTCAAAGAGTACAAAAACTTACTACACCCACAAAAAATATTAGGTATCTTGTACTCATTGATTATTCTGTCTGTCTGTCTGTCTCTCTCTCTATCTCTCTCTCTCTCACACACACACACACACACACACACACACACACACACACACACACGTCTTGGGAGAAATGTACAGATTTACATCATACCTGATTAATCAATTCAGTTAATGGGCTGACAATAATACTCCACATTCTCCAGAGATGTTCTTTGTTTTCTAATTGCTTTGCATTTTGGTTAATGACATTTAAAACAGAGTCACTGAAAGCTAACGGTGAAGTTGGGCCAGAAAGAACACAATCTACAAGTGTTTCCAGATTGAGAAAGAACCTGAAGAAAAAATACTGAGCAATGCATTAAACTGAACATTTTGCAGTACAACAAACATTTGTAACAGTTCAAAGATAAACCCATGAAAATAGGTGATTAAAAGTACAAAGAGTTACCTTTCATTTGTTATACCACATTCCAAGTTGTTGTTGAAAATTAATTGAATCAAAAACAAAGCAGGAGTTCCCTGAAGAAACAAGGCAGAAATGTAGTCAACCTTCTCATTATAAGGAAAAGTACATTTTTTTCAAGTAACTACATCAGAAATATAATCCGTTTGGGCTGTTAAAATCTGTTTTTTGCCTCTATTAAGGATATGACAATAATTAGCAAATTTGTTTCAATCATCTACACACAAAAATCAAACTCCTCACATTCTAATCATTGTGTTATACCTACACAAGAAACAATAATGGCTAGAAATTCAGAACAGAAGAAGAATGTTAACTGAAAACTTGCTAGATCACAATACCTTCTTTTTGCATATATAAATTAATGTTCCTAAACCTGCACAATTTTAATAACCAGCACTGTTATACAGGGTCCTACACAAAGTTTGTGGGAAAATTCCATCTTTACACAAACTATTTAAGTCCCATTAAATAGAAAACATTCCTCTCAAGCCCCTAAATCTACACACACAAAAAATGTTCATTATTCACATTAACTTTTAAGTAATGTCTTCAAGTTTTACATCAGATTTTTTTTTGTTTGTTTAAGCATGGTCAACATATTTTAAATCTAATTTTGGCTTTTTGAATCTAAATTTAGATTTCCCTTCTAAACAACATCACAAACATTTATCCTAATCTAATCATATCATTTACATTTAAGATACTTGCATTAAGAATATCCATATTAGCAACCTGATATGCTGGTGAACCTAATACTTTCTGAGGAAGTCCTTTAACTGTAATTTCCATGATGACCTATAAAAGATTAAATGGTTTTAAAGTAGAATTAGTCATAAATACAATGATTAGTAAAAATAGATTATTATTTTTAACGCTCTATTACAAGTAACATTCATGCATTAACATGAACCTATACTTAGTCTTTTCCCCCCCAAGAAAAAAACATTATGTAAGTTTAACATCTATTTTTCTAAATTGATCATGAGGCTACAGAGAACCATCTAACTTCTTGAGCTGTTACGCTGTTGTTGAGTGATGCCCAGTCAGTTCTGACTCATAGAGGCCCTGTATAGGGTTTCCAAGGAGAGCTGGCTGGTGGGTTTGAAGCCTCAAACTTGTGCTTATCCTACAACACTACACCAGGACTGGAGTTACATAGGTATAATATGCAACTGCCCTTCATTTTACTATTAACTGAATTCTCACATTGACACATGGTTGTTACATGCCGTTGGGTCAGTTTCAACACATAGCCAGCCACACAGTAAGGAGCTCTGGTTGTGTAGTGGTTACGAATCGGGCTGCTAACCTCAGGGTCAGCAGTTCGAAACTACCAGCTGTTCTGCGAGAGAAAGATGAGGATTCTACTACCGTAAAGATTTACAGCCTCAGAAACCCTGTACAAGGTCACTGTGAGTCGGAACTGAATTCATGACAAACAACAATAGGGTTTGAGGAAGTGACCGGTGAGTTTGAACCACCTATCTTGTGATTCTGCATTTAACCTACAGCACCACAGGACTTCTCAATACATGCAGATATAATATATTCAGTATTTCACAAGATTACTAACTAGACACTGGGTAGAATACTCAACAAATCGTCATATACACGTAGAACAAATTTTAACAATTTTTAAATAAGGATATTGTTTGTTCCAATTACCAGCAT